GTGGCCGACATATACCCCTCGTCACAGGGGCTCATAGCGTGCAATGACTGGCATATGTTGGGCTCAAACAAAAATATAGCAACGGTTGCGGGCAATGTTAGCCACCTGTGCCGCTACCTCGACGAACCCGTACCCCTGCCATACCTGGCGTACATCGTGTCCATCGGTGACTATAAGTTTGGTATTTACCTGAATTATATCGACGAAAGAGAGTGGTAATCATTAGGCATTAAATTTAATAGTTTTTAGCGATTAAATACTTTGTTTATCTCATCCATAAGTGATATATCGGTTGTCAATGAGTTTGGGACCAAAGAAACAGTAGATGTGCTGCGAATCGTCGACTATAAAACTGAGGCGAGATATGGGGTCCGGGCTTTGGACCCGAACTTTGTGGACGACAATCGTGTGAAAGAGCTGCCGGTGAGAGACGCCGAGTTCATGCGCGCCGTCAGGGCTGCGGTACTGCCCGGCAGTCAACAACTGGTCGACTGTACAAACATTGAGTTCGTTGTCATGCATTTCGGGCGCACCTCTCGGGTGATCGAGTTGTGTCTCAAGGAATTGGGTTTTGTGAAGGGCCGCCACTTTACCACATATGAGTGTTTGGCCGCCAAAGGCAGTGAACGGCAACTGTTTTCGCCCGCATTTAAACTGGTATTTCACAACTTATAAACACATTATTAACACTAATTGTTAACACATTTCCCCCACCACTGCGTTCAAGAACGTCGACTCAAAAGTAGCGCCGGACACGTCTCGGCTCATCGTCGGCCTGAGTAACGACGGCTGCCAACTGTTTGTGTACGAGAAGGGCTCTGACGGCAAGTGGACGCTCTTCACGCACGAAGAGTTGGCCCATCTGTTGCTGTGGTGGGCAAACGTCCGCTACAAATACCACAAAGCCATCAGACAGGCCAGAGGGCAACACCGGGAGCGGCCCTGTCATGTGTACGGACTCAATGAGCACAGCACTGGTTTTGTAGCCAATTTCTGCGCCCGAGAGGGACTCACGTTAGAGGTAAGGCTCAACTCAATTGACATAATGGCTAATCCTTTGCCTCATTTTAACGCCTGTATCGGCGGATCAGACGCACAGAAATATGGCAGACTTGTTGATCATCACCGAAGATGTGTATCAGAAGAGGGTTACGGCTGTCGATCCGGCGGACTATGAAAGCGGTGCCGTCGAGTACTACGAGACACCGCCCGACCCGATGCTCATTGTCATCGGCACTGACGGCCGCTTTATATGCGATCCCGAGTATATGCCTGTTTGGGACGGCATCGGCGCCTCTCTGCACGTCATATATATGGCTATATATCTGAATGGCATCATTCGGGGCACTCTTCGCAGCCATTTGGACATAATTCACAAAACATGTCAGCAGTAGTTCTCCAGTATCTCGTCCTCCAAATTCAAAATACACTCAATTTCTGTCCAATAAATAGCTTTTCAATTCAATATTATAAAATTGAAAATTTAATGAATTATATGATTACATTAATTAATTATTTAATTTTAACACAAAAGCATTGAATGATTGTTATATTAAAATTCTTTAAAAGTTAGATTTTTTAAAAATTTTATATATTAATCGTGTTATAAAAGAAATGTTCACAATATATGACATGAAAAAGTATAGTTTATAATATATACCAAAAATATTCTTAATGTTTAAGTTTTGTGCGGATTCTTAGCCCGGGTTAGCATCAGTTGTCCAATCGTTGAGTCAATGGTCTTGAATTCAAAACGATTATTACGGCATTTCTCACGCAATTGCGACACAAATATCTCTTTCATCGCTTCATTCAATTCAATGATAATAAACTGTTCGCTCGGATCTGATATCAAGAGATAATATAA